AATGGGGTGATCGACAGCGTTTCCAGCCTGTGAAGTACAAGCTGACTATCTTGGGGGAGATTTATCCTTGGAGTAGAAGCAGAAAGGCCGCCTTAACTGGGGAGAGAGAAACTCTCCGAACCTGCGTGCATTTAAATTGTGAGAAAAGCAGTCTACACGGACACTGCAGATTAATGCCTTGGACTGACTGCCAGGCTCATAAACACCCCGGTACCCTGTTCTAACCTAAGAAAAATGTTTGGGAGAATTCAATGTTGTCAGTCTCTTGGCTGGTCTGTATTATGGTGGGGGGCGGGGGGGCGGGGAGGAACAAAGCAAGATAAGTTATTGGAAGGGGGAAGGGGGAGGTAGACCACCCTGGTGAAAGATTAAGTCATGGCAAGATTCCCTACCCCGGGAATGACCCGGTCCTCCATCATGTACAGCCGCAGTTTTCAGATTATTTTACTCTTGGACTGTTCTGTCAGGGCAAAAGACCCTATGGACTTTCAGTTTCACCAAACAATAGTTATTTCATCTTAGAGTTGGAAGAAACCGGCTAATTTAGTTCAATCCCTTTTCCCACTTATGGAATGTTTCCAAGTGGGTAGCAGACGTGGCCATGGTCACAGAGAGTTTAGGCAGAGCTTAAAGCCAATTCCTGGCCTGAGCGCTTCATCCTACAGCATTAATCTGGTCAAGGGACTTCTTTTCCAGTTATATTCTAATACGTGCATTGAATTACCAACTGGCGGGGAATAGCTCTTCATTTTAACGCCTGCATCTTGACGTGATCTGAAATTTCAGACTAGGGAGAGGGCCCTGGAACTCTTGAGCTTTGAGTTCCACACACATGGAGCCAGGAAAGGATGAGGGCAAGTCTGCAAAAGCTGATGGGAAAGAGGTAAAAAGGACCCTTTTTTTTTTCCCCCAACTCAGAAACAACCAGGTGGTGCAGATAAAGAATCTGCCTGCAGATGCAGGAGACATAGAGACACGGGTTCAATCCCTGGGTCAGGAAGATCCCCTGGAGGAGGAAATGGCAACCCACTCCAGTATTCTTGCCTGGGAAATCCCATGGACAGAGGAGCCTGGCGGGCTATAGTCCATGGGGTCGCAAAGAGTTGGACACGACTGAGCACACACACACAACTCTGCAGGCGCCCTGCCCCTCCCCCCGCTGCCCATGAACCTGAGACTGTTCTGGGGGGCTGTGAGTTAGACCCCATCAACATTCCCCAGAGGCTGAATTACTTACAGTCTTTAACACTCCTCCCCACCTTATTTTAAAAAAAAACCAAAGATGTGCAGGCTGGGGACCATTCTATCTTTCATGTTATTTTATCATCTTCTCCTTCTTGGCTTGACAGGTCCCGGAGAGGACAAACCCACACTCCTGGAAAAGGACCTCCCACCAGGCAGACTCCTAAAGGTCACTTGGAATCCATCTCTTATATCCTGTCCTGAGTAGCAACCGTCCTCCCACAAACAGATGTGCAGAATCAGGAGTTCAAAACAAAACAGAAAGAAAATGCAGAAGTCCCCAGGCCTGCAACAGCTTCGGCTTAAGAAACACACTCGCATCCTTCACTCCATCTCTGCACTCTAGTGGACCTGGCAGAACAATGACCATCCAAAGAATGATGACACTGCGTCCAGGTCTCTGAGCCCAGATATTTAAAGGGATTCTGTAGTGCTGGCCCGTTTCCAGAAGACGCTAACCTGACATTTAACTGTGTATCATTTAGTCATTTTAAACAAAACAAAAGACACACAAGTATAATCTTGGAAGGTCATGGATGAGATGGTGGGTTCACCTTATCTTCCATCAGCCCTTTCTGCTCAGAGCTGGGAAGTAGTTGTATCACCTGAAGATCAAATTCTTGCACCCAGAAACCGGCAACCAAGGTGCTATCAGAGAAAGTCATTTTGCTGTTGTAGAAAGCAGTCATTTGAGTTTAAGCTCAACAGGGTCATTTGGGTTTAGACAATTGGACTTCTGTGAACAACAGACAGCCCTTCACAAACTGTCACGTGAAACAGAAAAGGATCTATTTAGGATTTCCACAGGAATCAAACCTCAACCTACAACTCTCAGAAGGAAATCAGGATCTCACAGTACATATATTTTTAAGGGATGTTAAAAAAGAAAAAAGGGACCCAAATAGTTAGGTACAAACATGGGAAAAGATTCTAAAGATGCAGTCAGGGACAGTGCATCCTTCAGAGGGAGTTTTCTGTAGTTTGCAGAAACAGAAGGTTCAAAACAATAATAAAGATGTTTGGTTTTTAATGGTCCAGGAACTTTCTTCAAAGAAAGGTAATTAGAGGTATATTACCAATATTTTCCCCCTTCTTTTGCAAATCAAGAGATACAAATACATTTCAAATGTGATTCCTCACATTTTTTAAGTCCAAATAGTCAAAATTAGAACTTTTAATCTTATAAGCCCCCAATTATTAAACACCAACAGTAAATCATATGAATGAGAAAAAGAATAACACAAAATATGAATACTTCCTTTCCAGCCACAAATGATGAGAGAGCTGTGCATGTATGAGAAACAGAAATCATAAAAGAAGAATTAGCAAAAGTTCAAAACCTCTGGGAAAGCTATTTTGTAGGATTAGAAACAGTTATTTACCTCAGAAATTGCAAGTTTAAAAGTCATATTTTCAGTTACCTCTCCCCCCAAAAACTTATGTACAGGCTAGAATCTAGAAATTAAGGTTAAAAGGATAAATACTGATAATTTCCCCTTAATTTTTAGAATAGTTTCAGAGTGATGTGATACAGGGATTTAGAAGAAAACAAAGAGTGTCATATTCTGGTTTGTTTGTGATGATCTCTTCCCTTTAGGATCCTTCACTTTCTCTCGAGGAATAAGCTCTGATTGAACTCTTTTGATTAAAAGATGTTTTAGATGAAATCAAAGACTGTAAGGGGAAAGTCAGAACGGTAATATGTATGTACATACATGACACACACGTATATATGTGTGTGTGTCCATATGTGTGTACATACACAACACATGCATGTGTCTGTATGCATGCTTACATGATGCATGTGTGTGTGTGTGCGTATGTGTATATACATACACCCTCTCTCACCTAAGAGGGACGTACACCCTCCCACAAGGACCCCCAGGCGGCTGCTCCCAGTGGTACCAGGTGACTCCAGTGATTTTCCCAGCAGAGACCTGGCCCGTCATCCCCACGGGTTGTGAGAAGGAGAAAAGCCTCTAATTTCACATGAAGCAAAATCTGGAAAGGAGTGACCATGAGAAACAGGGAAGAAGCAAGGCTGCGGAGAAGTGGATTTGAAAAGACTTCTCAGAACTGCTTAGATTCTGTGTTGTTTATTACTGTCCAAATACATGAAGTTCTGATGAAATAAAATCATATGGTACAGATAAAAACAGGCCATGAGAGCCCAGAGTTGTTTTAGGGCCAAATGGCAGACCACTCAACAGTTCACATTTTAGGAATTCAAAATGCTTAAAAATTGATAAGGTGGTTTCTGAAAAAGAAAGAGAAGGAAAAAAGGAAGAAAAAAAGACAAAAAGGAGGAAGGGAGGGAGGAGACAGAAACCATTGAGGAAATGTTAGCTCATGAGAAAGCCTGACTTAGAAAGAAGTGACAAATGCATAAAAAAAATGCATAAACTTTGTGCAGATTAATGCAATAGTAAACAGCAGAATACATAGGCCTCATAATACTTCTGTAATGGCGTACATATAATGTCTCTAGCACTTTTGGAAAATATGCAGATGCTAATTAAAGATCATTCTAGATAAAAATACACATTTCTCTAAAGGGACGATGGGGGTGAGGGGAGGCGGGATCTGGTCTCAGGGCACATCCCCGCATACAAACAAAGATGAAACTATGGGGTATTTTTTGGTAATTCTAGTGAATATGGCAGCAAAAATTTGTTGTTAAGGATGTTGGCTGGTTTTAAGAGGGTTATTTTCAAATATAACCTTATAGCTGCATTTGTAAAAAAAAAAAATTCTTTGTGAAAAGTTAATTTTATTAACCCTGAAGAATGTCTCTATTGACATCTCTTTCTAAGATAAACTAAGAGTAGCAAGAGTTGTGAATGGGTGAGGGGTTTATGCTTTAAAGCAAATGCGAACCCTCTCTGGGTTCCTCTCACACAAAGGGATACAGACTCTTAAATACAATAAACTACCTTAAAAATCTGCCACCTAACAATTGTTTACATCATAGAAAAATAGCATTTTTTGGTAAAAAGAAATATAGTTACTTTGTTAAAATGGTCTATTTTACCAGCAATTATTTCTCATATAAAGAATTTCTAGACATCCATACAGGAAATAAAAATAGATAATACTGAGTGCAAAGCAGACGATGGCATGTTTGCAAAAGATCGGAGCATCTCATTGCCGATAAATAATACTCTTATTCATCATAGTAAAAGGTTTCATCTTTTGGAAACTTACAAGCTACCGCTTTCATTTGCTGATGGCAAGTTACTTAACAGGTAAAGTGACTTCAGCAGCAGAAGGCCAAATTTATGAGAAATGGATCATACATGTCTGTTCACATTTCCCGGAAACTCAAAGTGCTGAAACACTAGCAAAGGCCTACGTCCCCCAGACTCCCTAAATTAAGTGTGGACAACAGGCCCCAGAGATATGAAGGGGGATTTATGACATTCTTGGTCCTTTTAAAATCATTCAGTAAACCACCCACATTTGAGTTTTCACATATAGCCAGATTAACACCAAAAGCTCTATCAGTTTGGCTAAATCCATCATTAAGGAGGGTCCTTGTGACTCTTTTTAAAATATAGGTATTAACCCTTCATGCTATAAAAACGGATGCTTTCAACAGACTACTGCTTTATTTCCACAGAGTGACTCTGTGGGGTCGATGTGTGTTCTGGCCATGGGGAAGGATGGCCCGGTGAGGTTCCTCCCAGGTGGCGGGGCTGAGGCCAGCTCGGGGGTCACCTGTCAGCAAAAGATGCGGCCCCACACTCAGCGGGGTGCCATCACACCCTCTCCACCCTGCTTGGGTCATAGGAATCTGCAAAAAAAGAAAACAAAAGAAAATGAGTAGTATATTCCACTGGTCTGCTTTCTATTTAATCCTCAGGCCAGAAATAAATGTGTAGGGAGCCAGGCCCACAGGTGTCGAGATGTTCATTTTCAGACATCTCACTGACCTTATTTTTCACCAAGGAGTAAACGGCTATCATCTAAAGGTTGTTTTGAAGGAACGGGTATGACCCATGCCTAATCACAGATGGGAGATGGGGGCAGCTTAGTATTTTGACCGTCCCTTCCTGTTGTTCACAGGGAACATAATTCACTTTAACTGCAACTCTTGTAAAGCAGCAGTGACGCGCTCAGCTGATGCTAAGCAGGATATTGTGTGCATGGACGTTACAGCTCTAAGGAAAGCTTGCTGTGGGACGCATGTCCTTGTGACCAGTGATGTCCCAGGGGGCCTGAAACCCTGAGAACTGGGCCTGGTAATGGCAGGCCTCTGGTCTCTGACCCCACAGCCAGCATGCGAGCACCAGGCTGCAGGCTCGCCCGTCAGCCTTCCACACTGGAGTGTGTGTCTGTCTGAGTTGCCGTGCTGTTCCACTCTACAGCTACACAACGGGGCCCAAGTGGCCCCGGTTCCAAAAAGGGACACCATACAATAGAACAATGGTCCTAGATTATCACTTGGGCTGTGGCTGGGCCCCTAGGGCATCACAGATCTCTGGGGTCCAGGCAAACCTGAGGCTCACATGTGTACTTCCCATGGTCAGAATCTCCTCCCATGACAGCTCAAAGAGCTCCTAAGTCCTTAAGAGCAAATATATAAGAAGTCTGGAAGGATGGTACAATTCAACATGTATTAAAACTATCACAGAGCCATCTCTTCCTCAACCCATCTGGGTGACAGTACATTCTGAAGGCCACGCAGAGTCCCACTTCTCTGGCAGCAAGATACCTTGCTGTGTCCTCTGCACACCTTGGCAACAGAGGAAACGGCAACCCACTCCAGTATTCTTGCCTGGAGAATCCCCTGGACAGAGGGGCCTGGAGGGTTACCATCCATGTGGTCGCAAAGAGTCGGACATGACTGACTAACACACCACATACGTTCTTGACTCCTTGGGATGTATTTACGATGAGACACCACAGTTGCAATAACTAAGACAATGTGTGTCGCACTTGGGACAGGCTCCGCTTTTAGGAAGGGATCTGCTGCTCCTCAAACTCTTACGGTACCAAGTGCCCATCTTGTTGAAAGCAGGCAGAGATCCCATGAACAAGCTGCCTTCTGCGGGTCTACACTCAACACCCACCGTGACAACGCGGGTCTTAGCGGCTGAGCAGCTCTCTGCGCCCAGTTGGCCTCACTCAGTGCTGATTCTGGGGGACCCCCATGAGCAAAGATGAGATGGAGGTGGGTGGTCACGAAGGGATGGAAGGGCACGCTGGCGGCGGGAAGAGGCCTCGAGAGGCTGAGCCTCCAGGGACACGGAGCCCGGCCCTCAGCGGCCCACCTGAGAGCATGTACGTGGAGACCGCCCTACAGGACATGCCTGCAGCCTGACCCCCACTGCTGAAGTTGAGGGTCCAGAGACAGAGAACCACAGAGAGAAATTAGTACGACCAAGGACTCCTTTAGACCGTGGAGGGTCGAGGTTCAATAAAAATACAATGTGAGCCGCAGTATGTTAAAAGTTTTCAGTAGCCATGTTAGGGCAAACAAAAGAGGCAGGTGGAAATAGTTTCGATGGTCCATTTTATGTCACCAAATATATCCAAAATGTTATCATTTTAACAGGCAATCAATAAAAATTATTGGGACATTTTAGATTTTTTTGGTTACGTCTTTGAACCCTGGCATGCGTGTCACACATTTACAGCCCATCTCAATTGGGACAAGCCATGTTTCAAGCGCTCAGGAGCCACGTGTGACCAGAGGCCACCACACTGGCCAGCTGAGGCGCCAGAGAAGAGGGAAGTCATGCCCCTCCTGCTTCCTGCGGGCGCCGTGTCGGGGGAAGACGGATCACTGAGGCCCGCCCTGGTGGGTATTTCATGTGTGAACGCCCTCGAAGGCTACTGCCTGTGAGGATGTGCTGACGCTCAGCCTTCTCATGGCGTCATGTGGCTCCCCTCAAGCTTGCCCCGGCTATCCCCACCCCAGGCCCGGACAGGACAGGCTGTCCCCACTCTCCTCCTGAGCGTGCACCAGGAAAGCGGCCATCAGAAGTGGGTGGGGCCAGACCAGCAGGCTCAGACACTGATGCGCCCGGATTAGGCTTCCTGACATAATCCACCCAGCGGAGGTGGGAATGCTGTGACCTGAATTAGTTTTGAGCTGCTGATTTCTTAGCCAGAGCTCTCCCGACCAAAAAACACTAAAACAATGTTAGCTGAAATGACTGTCTTTAAGCTGAAGGCAAGTCTTTATGATATGATGGATACATAACACAGACAATAAAGTTCTGGAAGGATGTGTGTATGTGGTGGCGGGGGGGTGGGGCGGTTTACAGATATATGAGGTACGAAATTGTTTGAAAATTCCAGAATAAAATTTGAATTTAAGTGGGCTGTGAGTCTGGGGCAGTGAAGCGGGTCCCACACCCTGAGGTGACAGAGGCAGGGGTCAGGTGAGGATGGAGATGATGACTTTTGTGTTTAAAATGATAAAAATACATCAAAAGGAAAGAGTCTAAAGGCTGGTGAGCAACAAGGCTTCACTCCCTCGATGAAGGCCTCTCAGAAAGACTGGCTTTGCACACTGCGACCTGGTGACCAGCAGCTGGAAGGCTGAAGGGGGGTACCTGAGTGGGTGCACACCTGAGGAGTCGCCCTCATGGGTCTGGCGATGTGGCCACTTTAGGAAGCCGTCACCACGAGCTCTCTGCCTTGAGATTTCTGGCCATCTTATTGTGTATTAAATAGCAAATGCACCAAACGGAGTGGCAAAAAAGTAATTAAAATTTCTAATGGCTGGAAACTACGGTTACAAAATAAAGTCACAGGTGAGGGTGTCTGAATGGCTGGTTAAAATGGAAACTGACATTCCCTGGGGGATTTCAGATACCCATCTGACCCCATTCACATGCCGGATGCTAAGGCTGAGAATTGAGGGAGAGCTGGATGGACTAGAAATTTTATGACACATTCCCCAAAATACATGGCCATGAATGGAGGCAGAGAAATCTTTACACACTGATGTTTTTCTTATAACCGGATGCATCTTCCTTTAAAATTCTCGTAATTCTTGGGAGGACTAACACTGTCAGCCTGATTTACTTTACAGATAAGAGACTCACTTTAAAAGCCTATGACATAGGGGACATACGTACATCTATTGTTGATAGTCTGACAGAAAACAATACAATTCTGTAAAGTAATTACCCTTCAATTAAAAGAAAAAGCCTATGACAGCTTTCAAATCAGCACTTAGAAGCCAGGGGTCTATTTTTGGTGGGGGTCAGGGGAGGTCTCCTGCTGCAGCCTCACAAAGCCCAACGGCTCACAGATGCACCATGGAGCTCTTTCCACGTAATGGCCGAGGCTCCACACCCCTGCTGTTCTCTCCCGAGGCAAAGACCAACGTGGTCACTCAGATGACCCAGGAGGGCCCTGACAGACGGCTTCTTTCGATCCTGGATTCTGTGAGAGGGTGGGAGGATCTCTCTGCATTTGGGGGAAAACTGAAAAAATGTGAAGGAGATTTTTTTTTTAATTGAACAAAAATTTGGGGATTCTTCCAGCTGAAACAAGTGATCTTTTCCATCTCCTTTTAAACCTCTGATTTCAAAACAGGAAGAAGAGTGGCAGGCGTGGGGAGGACCACCTGGTTGGGGCAGCTAGGCAGATGGAAGGGCCTGGCTGCCAGGACCGGCTGGGGTGGGGGTGGCGCCAGACCACTGAGGACAGGGCACCCTTGCCCCTCCCGGCAAAAAGGCCCCTTCCAGTCGGTAGCTCAAGGTGGATGCCTCCCCTCCTTGAACCATGTCTAGGGAATATAACTGGTAATATCAATGATAACCTCCAGGCCTGGACCAGAAATTCCCAGGGCTCTCATCAGAGCTGAGACAGTGAACTGGTGTTTGGGGGCACCATGTCCCTGCTGAGAGAACCTGCCCCGTGGTCTATACAATGAAGAAGACTGGAGAGACCCACGAAGATGAGAATATGCGTGGCTTCGGGTCTGCAGGAGGCTGTTGCCAGAACCTGCTCCCCTGGGCCGAGTGATCAGTGCTGAGGGGCTGGAAGAAACAGGGTGGGCCTGTGAGCTTCGAGGGGTGCGTGGGCTGGTGCTGAGAAAGTGCAAACTGCTAATCCTATCTAAACCTCTCAAGTCTTTCATGAATGGTGTGGTGGCGAAAAGAGATAACAATGGAGGACAAAGGATTCGGTAAGAATCCCAGGGCAAGAAGTTTATTGAATCACTCGGGTATGTCTTTTCTCATTAGGCTAACCAAGCAATGCAGGTTATTCGCTTCTTGCTTCATTCGCTTCAGTCATGTCCGACTCTTTGCAACCCCATGGACTGGAACCTCCAGGCTCCTCTGTCCATGGGATTCTCCAGGCAAGAATACTGGTGTGGGTTACCATGTCCTCCTCCAGAGGATCTTCCCGACTCAGGGATCAAGCTCACACCTCTCATGTCTCCTGCATTTGCAGGCGGGTTCTTTTATCACTAGAACCACCTGGGAAGTCCGAGAGTTATCTGGGAGAATGTCTATTTCTGGGGAGAGAACAGAATACAAACGCCCTGGTCTCCTAGGAGACCGATCAAGGTGCCTACACCCTGGCTGGCATAGCTTACTAATGTACCTCTTCAGAGTCAGGGGCCCCAAGGGTGTTTATATAGGTAATTTTATCTAGTCACTTACATAGATACTATCTATGAAGACCGGATCATTGAAAATACACTGCAAGGTCTTACTATTAAGAGAAGCTTCTGGATAATTCTTAGGTAGAATGAAGACTCTTTGGGCACCATCATTCACAAGGTCGATCTGATCTTTTCTGAATCTGCAGGTTTCATCACCCACCCACTAGGTATTTTGATGTTCTCAGGACGTCAAACGCAACCTGAACACCCGCCCCTCTGCCTGACTCCTCACCTGGGCACCAGAAGTCCCGGCCGCCATTCTCCTCCCTTCGCACTGCTGGATGCCTGTCTGCTTCCAGCGACAGAGCACCTTGGGGGTCGGAGAGCTTGTGCCCGGCGCTGGGAGTCACTAGGCCTCCTGGCCACGCCCCGGGGTCCCTCTCGGCCTTGGGCTCCTCCGTGGAGTCCATGCCCCGGGACGTCAGGAGCCTCATCCGAGACACAGAGCTCACCTCCTTCATCCTCATCAGGCGGTCGGGGTCTGCCCTCCTGGGTGGGGAGACCAGCTTCTCCTGTAAACTTTCGATCACTCTGGAAGTGTTTCGGAGCTTCTTTTCCGAGAATGCCAAGTCTGGGGTCCTTTCTATAAAGTGGAACAAGGTGGACCTGAAGGGTGGCTTTGTCTCCACGTCCTTGGGAAGGAAAGGCTGGGACTCCGGGGGGCTGGGCGGAGGTTCAGGAGCCTTGCTGGGGACGGCCCCGTCCACATCCGCGGGCTCAGAGGCCCGGGGAGCCTGCCGGGTGCTGTCCCTCTCGCCTACAAACAGAGGGCTCTTGGTCCAGCCGCACTTCCTCCTGCCATAGAAGGCGTCGGCAGGTGCAGTGGACTCACTGGGCTGGGCCAAGCTGGCTGCTGCCTCCTGTCTGGGGGACTCGGGCCTGAGGGCACTTCCATCGGGCTCGGGGTGCCGGCTCTGCCCTGCCCTCTGGGCGCCTGGCAGCAGGGACTCCACAGCCACCTCGATGCCCAGGATCCTGGTGGCCCTGGCTTCAAGGGACTCATTTGGGGGGATTTCTATGGCATTGGCATCACCCAGAGACCCTGCTAGCTGGCTGGTACTCTGCTCCTGCACCAGCGTTAGCCCCACAGACCTCAAGTCTGGTGCAGACAGGCCTCGGGATTTGCCGGCAAGAGAGAGGGGCGCCCTTGTGCTCCCTTGCTCCCCATCACCCGCCCTCGGAGGGGCGGCTGCACTCAGCTCCACAGCTCCGAGACTGCCAGGGAGCTCCTGGCTGGGCGGGGGCTCCCTCCGTTCAGCTGGATCGGGTCGGGGCTCGGGTTTTGCATCATTCAACCCAGAAGATATTGCTCGTTTCACAGGCCTTGGGCTGACTGCCAGCTGGGCCACCCTGTCCTCAAACTCTCGGTCCCCGTCTTCAGCAATCCAGCTCCCGGGGGGGGACAGCCACACGGAGCCTCTGCCTTCTGCCTGCCAGGGCCTGGGGGACCGAGGCCTCCCCTCCTCGCTCCAGCTCTCGGACTTGCTCTTGACTCTGCCCGGCCTGGTCCTGGGGTCCTCGGGCACCAGGCCCTTCAGGAGGCCCGGACGCTGGGGTGCCGAGCGGGCACAGCTCTGCCAGGGCAGCTCTGTGTCGCTGTCCTCACTGCCGCTGCCGTCACTGCTGCTGTTACTGCTTCCTTCCTCCTCCTGAAGCTCCTTGTTGAAACTTTCTAACTGGCTGATCAAGTCCCAGGGCCGGCGGCTCACGGGCTTCAGGAGGAACTGCCCGAACAGCTGTCGACTGTTGCAGGGGCCCGTGGTCTCCCCCTTGATCACCTCACCCCTGGACACGGGGCTGGCTCGGCGGCCACGGCCATCCGAGCCCTGCTGACCCAGGCTGGCCCTCGGTGCGGGAACCTGGTTCCTGGACCGGGAGGACCCGGAGAAGGCGCTGTTGCTGGACGGGCTGAGGGACCCTTGACTTTTCGGGGAATGAGTCCCGGGCCTCTGGTTCGGGTCACTGGACGCCAACGCCATGTGCATCTGAACCTCAAAGGGTGCAGGGTCCAAACACCTTGGAGGCAGCACGGGGTCGGGGGAGCCCCCTGTCCTCTCGCCTGGGAGGGGCTGCAGGCTCTGAGGTTCTTGAGCGAAGCTGGTTTGTGTTTGCTGGTCTCGGAAGTGGTGCCCAGGCCATGCGAGCGCGCGGTGCTTTGCGGGGTTGGGGGATCTGAGGCCGTCTGCTTGCCGGCCCCCTCCTGGGCCCCCCGGGTCTGGTCTTGGCAGCTCTGTCCTCGGGGCCATGCTGCCAGTGAGTGCCTGGAGCTCCAGGTCGGTGGAAGACAAACTGAGCCCGCTCTGCTCCTGCAACGCAGCGCTCCGCTTCAGGTCATTGTTGTTCGTGTCCGTACCTGGCGGCTGGGACTCCGATTTCACCGGGATGGAAACCAAACAAAAGATCGTCTCACTCGTTTTTTTCTTTGAGCTTCTCTTGGGCTGCAGCCCTGTCTGGAACTTTCTGAGTTGGGTCTGCATCTCACAGGAACTCTCGCCCTGGGGGCTCGGGGAGGACACGAGGCTTTCTGGATATTCGCGTGGGCTGCCGCTCACATCGGGCCGCTTTCTTTGTGTGACAATGCAGGGGTCTCTTCGGTCAGGAGAACTGCCGTCTTCTCTATCCCTGGGGGGCTGGCCCCATAGCCATGGGGGGCTGGGATCAGCAGGGGCAGGACCCCTCCCCGTCCCTGATGTGCCCCACACGGCCCCCTCCTGCTGCAGGCTTCTTGGGTCAGGGGCAGGGACCGCACCATCCAGCTTCACATCTTCCCAGAATCCATGGGGTCGGGCTAGTTTAATGTGTCGTATCCGCGGGTCGTTGAAGGGAATTATCAGGATGGAGCCGTCGTAAGCCGTGGTTGGGTGGGGCTGTGGGGGGACACCTACAGGAGAGCATGGGCTGGCCCCCCACTCACTCCCAGCTCCCCGGGAGCCAGAAAGAGGCTGACCGCCGGCAGCGGGCTTCTCCATCAGATGCTGTGGTACACGGCGGCCTCCGCCATCAGGCCTGGGTACCGCCTCCTCCGGGCAGGGGTGTGCTGCGGGCTGCGGTGGCGACTTGTACGAGGGTGGGGGCACATACACGGGGGGCTCCAGGCCTGGGTCAGGCCCATAGAGGTCCTGCCTGGCACTGTTCGTCCTGGCCAAGTGGGCAGCACCCGGGTCCGGCTGCCGGCTGTCTGCATAGCTGCCATTTTCTGCTCCGGCCCTGGAGTGTGGCTGGGAGCCGTAAGACGGGGGCTTGAGGGGTCTCCCAAACCTGGGCCGGGGCAAAGGGGCCGAGGTGCCAGCCTTCTCGGGGTTCCTGGTGGATTCCAAATTGGAAGCACAATTTGGAGGCTGAAGTGGCACTTTAGGGACACCTGGTAAATGGCCATCGCTCAAAGGGATAGGGACCTCCACACAACTCAGGCTCTCGGGGGAAAGGACTCGAGGCAGTGATTGGGACTTCCCTTTGCTCTGGGAGGTCAGCCCGTGCTCCCCAAGCATGAACGGGTACAGGTCCTGAAACAACTTCTCTCCAACACCGTCTGACATCTGCCTCCCAAGTCTCGGGGGCTGGTTCCAGCTTCCAACGCTGACATCCTGCCATCTGGCGGGACCCGCCATTCCCAGCTCGTCTTCCCAAACAGCCTTCTTCATCACGTGCTCAGACCTTCCTCCAACTTCCCAGGGACCCTCCCTCGGGTGCGCGGGCAGGCTGGGGGCCGGGCCTCGGCCCCCTGGGTCCTCCCGGGCCTCCTGCTCTCTTCTCCTCCAGTAGGCGTGGCTGCGGCCGGTCAGGGGCTGCGAGGACCATGCGAGCACCGGCTGATGGTAGAACCTGCGAGACAGAGGGCCACAGGTTACACCTGGAGGAAGCCCACGGGAGCAACGCACACCTCTCTGCCTATGCAACTGTGTTCTGAGTCAAACTTAGGTCAGAACCTTTGAAAGACACATTTCCAACCACAGTACTCATTCACTTGAAAGAAACCATGGTGCAGGAGTTACAGCTGGAAGGCAGCCACATGTTTTGCCATCGCAGACTTAAGAGTGGCAGCAACACGCTGCCCACAAGATCATTAGGACTAGATTTGTACCTGAGTGCACCTGAAATGCCCAAGAGACATGGGTAAGCCCAGAGCAGGGCTTTGCAAGTGTGATCCTGGGCCTCTGGGGTCCACACCCAGCTCAGACTGGAAGACCTTGCTTTCTGGGAGCAAGTCCGGGCACGTGCTTCCAGCAGGTGCAGGAATCCCACCCCTGATGCTGACTCTGAGGCCTGAGGGGACTCTGTAATGGGCACTCCTAACAGGTCCCAGGTGCTGTGGCTACTGCTGATCCCAGCGACCCCTGAGGACTATCGCGGCCAGCGGGCATCAACGACTGCACAGCAATCCGGGGACCCTGCCACTCCCGACGCCCAGGCAGCACCCCAGCTCCGACCTGTCAGAGTCTCAGGGGCAGGTGGAGAGCCAGGTGGGCCCCAGCTCTTCCCAGCATGCGACTGGGACGGCCCCTCGGCTCTAGTAGAGCAGAGTTCCCACACCTCTGTGATGGTGGGGAGCCACCCAGGAGACTCATTAAATATACACATCACCAAGCCCCTGCCCCTAAAGTTCCGATTCAGTAGGTCTGGGCTAGGGTCTGGGTGTTTCCCTGGCGGCTCAGATGGTAAAGAATCTGCCTGCCACGCGGGAGACCCGGGTTCGATCCCTGAGTTGGGAAGGTCCCCTGGAGGAGGAAATGGCAACCCACTCCAGTATTCTTGCCTGGAGAATCCCAAGGACAGTAGAGCCTGGTGCGCTACAGTTTATGGGGTTGCAGAGTTGGACAAGACTGAAAGACTAACATATCTATTTTAAGCAAGCTGTCAGGGGCATCTCTTCTTCAGGGTGATGGGGGAAACATGGCTCGGACTGACTTTTGAGATTGACAGGGGAAGCAGGGTCTCCGCTCGTGGGCAGAGCTCTCTGCCAGGCGAGGAAGGGCAGCGCCCGAGGACAGCCGACCCCAGGCTGCTGCCCGCCGCCTGGCTGTGCATCAGGATTTCCTTGTGAGCCATTAAAAAATACTACTACCCAGGTCCCTCCCACCCCAGATGGGGGAATTTAATCTGTCTAGCCAGGAGCCTGGTACCTCCTCGAATGACTCTAACACACACCCTGAGTTGAGAATCACTCTTCTAATGGAGCCAAAGAAACAACCTGAAGAACCCTGGCACATTGTGCAGAAATATTAAGCTACTGACCACAAGGGAGCAGAGACTAGGACTGCAACCCAGAAATCTCACTGGGAGTAAGGAAGCCTGGGGTGCTCCATGAGTTCAACTGGCCACAGGCTAATCCAGAAAGGTTTCAACTTTTCTTGAAACCAGAAAAGGTTTCAAGCAGCTAACAGTGTTGCTTGCTTTTCACATTATAGAAGAAATACACAGTCTATCGTTTTCTGCCACCTATCAACACATAAAGCAATTACCCTTCCATTAAAAATAAGTAAATAAATAAAAATAAAGTAATATGTAATTTATTGCTGAAAACTTGGAAAAATACAGGGAAGAGTAGAAATCAAAAGTCACTGGCAGTCCTTCTACCCAGAGGTGGTCACTGTGATTTACAGCTTCAAACAGCCTTAGAGTTACTCTACTAGGATCTGGCCTTACGGGAATGTTTCCCAACAACTGTGTCACAGACAGCAGCTGGCGCTCACACAGTGGTGACAGCCCTCCAGGCCCTACATGCTCTCCTGACTCCTCTAAGCTCCGCCAGCACCCCTCTGGGGTAGGAGGAAATAGGCACAGGGAGGTTCAGCGGCTCTCTCAAGTCACACAGCTTGTAAGCAGTGGGAGGAGAGCTCAAACCCAATGAAGGTGACCATAGAGCCCGTCAGTCACCACGTTCTACTTCTTCCAGCATAAGGACAGATTCCTCAGGGGCACAGTTTCGGTGGGAGAACAGTCTCTCATGAGTCCTGCTTTACTTAACCATCACCCTGCTGTTGGACATCCATGATCTTGCTGTTCATTCCCTAAGTCGTGTCTGACTCTTTTGTGACCCTAAGGACTGTAGCCCACCAGGCTTCTCTGCCCATGGGATTTCCCAGGCAGGAATACTAGTGTGGGTTGCCATTTCCTTCTCCTGGGAATCTTCCTGGATGAGAGATCAAACACACACCTCCTGCATTGGCAGGTGGATTTTTTACCACTGATCCACCAGGAAGACTTGGGATATCTGTGTCCCTTAGTTCTAAAACACTGGAGAAATGCTATTTGCCATCACTAATGTGTCTCAAGTTCTGGAAAATCAATCCTGAGAGAAGGAATCAGCAGGTCAGGGGATCACGTTGTCCCTGCTGTGCAATCTGACCACAGATTGGCCAGGCTCCTGCCCGCAGCTTGGAGCAGAGCTGGTCCTGCTGGACTGTGCCGGCATCTGATCATCAGGGCTCATTTGTTCCTGCACTCATTGGTCTCCATTTGCATTTCTGTGATTACTAGTGAGGATTACTTTTTTATGTGCTTAGGTGCCATTAAACCACATTTTGTGATTTGGAATGATTTCTATGCCACAGTCCACTTTCCAGTTGACAGGATGGTACAGAGAGCAGGGAGGATGCTCACTTCCCGCAGCCACAGCAGGTGATGGCCTGGGGACAAGGCACTGTGGGGGATGGACTGAAGGTGGGACCCCCACCCCCACACCCACAACACACAGGCAGAAAGAACAGCTGTTCTACAGGAGCTAGATGGTAAATAAACGGTAAAAAGCTATTACTGTCATTACTATTTTGGAATTCATTTCTTTGCCTTAAAAAGTGAAGGCAGCTTCTCATATCCTGCATCCCGCCCCCTGCCCCGCAATAACTTCAGCAGCCACTTAGTAAAGCTGAGTCAAGGATTGAAGAAGCAGAAAATGTCTGAAATGGATTGGAGGTAAAGCGTTTGCCAGAACCACCTAACTGCTTCTGCATTTACTGCACACACACAGTGCAAGCTGTCTTAACCCTGCCCACAGCTGAAGGTCAAGTTCTTTGTTGGGGCATTTAGGTTTTGAGGACTGACAGAGCCTTCCTCGGGTCAGGTTCTATGAAGGCTGGTCCCTGTGGAAGCCGCCTCACTGGCCTCCGAGTGCATCACCCCCACCCTCACCCCTAGCCGAGCCAGCACAAGGCATCCAGAGCTCAGAAGCTGACATTCCTGTCTTTAGTGACACCCTCTGGCTGCCTGTCCAGAGTCTGATACTGACCATGAACCATGGTGCACCTGCTGGCTTCAGGGTCTTAGACTCTGTGCCAAGTCCAAGGGCAAGACTCAAAAGTGCAGCTTAATAAGATGCTACAATCATTGCAAACCTCATTAAGAGAGTAAAACAAACCACTCGCAGTGTGTGGTGGATGCCCAGCATGGGAATCTCCCTTCTCGCCTGTTCCATAGCTGACGGTGAGCCGGTTTAACCTTCCACACCCACTGACTGGCTCCTTTCAGACCCCTGAATGTCTGGGACATTTGGTTTCACAGAAGAGACCATGCTGCCTAGCTTTTGCTCACTTGCTCAACAGACATTCCAGTTTCCCAGTAAATGCATGATTTGTTAAATACCAAGAGGGGCTGAAATCCCAAGGTGCGATCTGCCCACATTTGGGCCACGAGCACAACTGGAAACTAACAAAGGACGACAGAAACAGGACAAGCACGTAAACAGGCTGCAGCTACCTACACCAGGAAGGGGGTCAGTTTCCTTCCCGCTGAAAATTGTGACATCACCTTAACATCATCCAAGCTGCCATGTGTAATTAATCAAGATGGCCAAGCATTCTGGGCTAAACTTTTTTTTTTCCATTTGCACCATACACCAAAATCCCAGTTTAAGGAAAACACAGGGCCACTTGGAGAGCTTTAAATAATCTATTTTAATGAGTATACATGACATAGAAAACTAAATCGATTATTTCACCAACATCTAGTGTGCCTAGTCTGAGCCTGGCTCTGACAGGCACAGGTGGATCCACGTGGTCACAGTTCAGTTGAATTTTTCCTTCACATACATTATCAAGTTGGATAGTTACTGGTTTTAATGTATGATGTGCAGCAGCAGCTAAAACATGTGTTACTTCATATGGTTGCAAAGCTAGGAATGTGTTTTCTGGTACCTTTGAGGAAATAAGCTGAGATCAAATTTTTCTCTTGTAAGAATGAGACTAATAATTTACATTTCTTTTTTTATTAGTCATTCAGTCATGTCTGACTCCGTTTCGATGCCGTGAACTGCAGCCCGCCAGGTTTCTCTATCTGTGGGATTCTCCACACAAAAATACTGGAGCGGGTTGCTATGCCCTCCTCCAGGGGATCTTCCCCACCCGGGGATTGAACCTGGATCTCCTTCATTGCAGGCAGATCCTTTACAGTCTGAGCCACAGGGAAGCCCCAGATTTATTCACAAAACGTTAACAATGGGACATTCCACAAAAACACGCTGAACGCATTCAAACAGGGTGGGGAAAAGATAAGGAAGCCAAGTGGAGTGTGTGAGCCCAAATAAATAGTGTCAGCAAGGTCAGGGAGACAAGCAGGGTCTTTGTGCAGAATTCCTGGGAAAAGAGGTCAGAGAGAAGACAGACGCTACACTTGGGAGCAGCTCCCTGGTCTATCAGCAGTGACACGGTGATGACAAAACCACTGATACAGAGTGTCTGGAAAAACTCTGAAACCTGAACATGCGGCAAACAACATGTCTGCTGGAAGAAAGGCAAATCTATTTGCTGAAGGTATAAAAGCTGATGATGAAAAACATGAGGAGACCTGTTTGTTCACATGACATTTTCCATGGCAATAGAAAATCCCAC